TTTTCTCTAAAATCTAGTTGAAAAAATCTAACCAAACAAAAATCCAAATATTTATAACTAATAATATTTTTTTCAATAATTCATAGACGCATTTTTAAATTACTATAAATTTGCCATCACCCACCAGTTCCCACTCATACACTTCTATTGTGTATCCCCAGCTACATAACAGCTTTGATCCAATTTTTTCCATCAATAATGCGTACATACAAACATAAAATGTATAGTAGATACATACATATGTAAATCTAACATTGACTTAAAATGCTTAAATTGTTTACCAAACCACAGAAAAATGTATTCAACTTAGGCAAATGAGCAACAAAAGTAGGAAATTTTGTAAAAATAAAATTTATTTTCGGAACATGCAAACACACATATACACCGTTACACACCTACATATCTCATGGTAAACAACTGCAACAAGTCAAAACAACTTTTGCGCTTGAGTTCACAACCGACATATAACTCGTTTACTGTCGCTACAACCGTTAGGCACATGACTATTTACGCTTTCATGTCGCAATATAAACGCACAAGTGAATTTCGCGGCTGCTGGGTCGTATGTGGTCCGGTTCGAGGATATGCGCCAATATACTTCAGTTTGGCATTAGTGCTGACATTTAAGCGCACTTACACATATTTCATATGTTGATGCATGTTTACAGTAACGCAGAAAATATTTATATATTTACATATGTAAAGAAAAAATATGAATACATAAAATCGGTTGTTTTTCGCAGCCACTTTTCTTGCTTGTTTGAGCAGCGCTTGTTAACATGTCTCGGTTTCGAGTCTGTTTGTGTACAAGTTAGCTGCGGCAGGGAAAAAAGTTGAAAAAACAATTTTATGTGATATTTGCTTGTGAAAAAGACATTTACATAGGAATTTGTGTGTAAACAGCAAATTTTGTTGAAAACAAGACTGAATACGGAAAGGAAAAAGAAAATAATTTTTAATGTTTGAGAAGTAGAAAATTTTTTCATGCAGAAATATTGAAGCATAAGCCAGTAACAGAGCCTCTAACGGGACGTCTTGAGAAAAAAACACTAGAGAAAACACGAGAACAAAAAACCAAAAATGCTTTTCTTATTTCGTTAGTAATTCTATAACACGATAGTGTTATGTTTAGCGCGAAACCTGAATTGGTGCGTTGGTATTATATTATTTTCGTGGAGGAAAGGAGACATCTTCTATAGTAACACTTTTTCAAATATTTTAGAAATGCAAGGTGGAAGACTGATTGGTCTGTATGAAGACGGCTGTGTTTCCTAGGTTTAACCATCAAGATAATTTGCGACTTTTTCCATGCAATTGG